CTGCTAGCCACTATCTACCATTGCTTACAAAACAACTCTAAAGTTAAGTTAATCACTATAATTGATCAAATTAATGAAGAATGAATATCTTTTACACTATTTACACGATTATTCTTATTATATAATCAAATTAGGAAATGAAATTCATGTAAATATGTCAATGAATAAATTGAGATCTTTTCGGAGTTTGTTTTTTCTTTCTTCCATTGAACGAAAAGAAAAAAAAAGTAAAAAACACCAATAAGAACCAGATGGTGGGGGGGGAGGGAATCAATTTTTAATGGTTAAAAAACTTTCTCAACTTTTTCAAGTAATCTAATTAACTCAAATTAGTAGTATATTGAGGATAGTAACAATTTTAATGTAATAATAATAATAATAAGACTAGATTTCATTTAATAAACACTATAGATCAAAAAAACATCTACACATGAAGTGGATACAGAGAATAAAATGAAAATAGATTCGATTGATAAGCTAACTATCTATCAACATGTTTAAGATATGAAACTAATTAGTCCGATATACAACTGATTGGATGAAAGCTTATTGATTCAGAGATTAAGCTTTCATGCTCATAACTAAAAATGATCTTGATATGTTTATGGACGCAGTCTTGTTAAGGTATCCCATATTAGTACTAAACAGTGAAGTAATATCACTTGGTTGTCTAACTAACTTCAGTTCATGATGAGAAACTATTACACGTTTGGTACCTAGTTATATAAATGTAATTCATTTGATCATGTTTAACTTTATTTGATCGAGATTGAAACACAGGTTATAAAATTGTTAATTATACTATTGTTAGATTGCTAAAACTAACTAATCAAAGTAGACTAGGATTCAAGCTAAATAACCTTCTAATTGGAAGTTACTTATTATAATCATTAGGATATCGTTTAGTGAATGGAGAAATCAATTTAATATTCATTCTCCAGTATTTCAAGCAAACATTTTCTCTCCAATAATATCAATGAATAAAATAAAGATGCAATTGATTCATGATCTTAACCATTGAAATTACTATAATATCCACAAAAGCCCTTCTGAAACTAATCAACCTATGCTCATTAGTGACTGGTTTCAAGAGGTATATTCTGGAGTTCTAGTGAGAAGCCGTGATCAGTTGAGTTCAACCAGGTCTGTTGTGAGATAGTAATTCACTGAAGACAATGATGAATATGTCGCTCAGTTTCTTAGATTGGTTGAAGTTAGACATTAACACCGTTGGATGTCGACCGGCTCAGTGATCTAGTGGTCAAGCGCTTACCTGTGAGACTGACAGCTTCTGAGTTCGAATCTCGGGGGGGGGCGGTGTCTTAGATCCTCACTGATGAGGAGTCTCACAATAGGATGAAGTGGCCATCCAATGTTTCCAGGTTTTCCATGGTGATCTAGCTTCAATTGACTCATGAATTCAACTATGAAAATTACTATAATATTCACAGAACCCCTTCTGATATGAATAAAATAAACGTCAAAAAAAACAAAGGAATATCTAATCGAAACTAATCAATTAATTAAAGTAGTATAGGAAGAAAGAAGACAATAAATAAAGGTTTGAACTGTATTGTTCTCTTAAATTTGACATACAAAGATAAATCATTCAATTAAATGAAGAGAATTAATCTAAACAAAGAGAATGAGGAAAGAAAGTTTGTTTACAAACAACAAGATAATCCGTTTGTCAACTTATGGTAGTTTCTCACATGCTTTTCAATACTGGAAATGAATATGTGTCCAATCTGAATATGATAAACAAATTTAAAAGATGGAGAGGGAGGTGGAAAATGTATTTTAAATCATGAATTGGTTTTAGTTCGATAACTATTGAAAACCAGAAGACACTGGACAGCTGCTTAGTTCTAGTATGGACCATGTCATCAATGAAATGGAAGATGTTTGTATAAGATCATGAATTAATTGAAGCATCGACAGCTTATTGATTTAAAGATTAAGTACTGTGTTGAATCTGTTGTAGTGGAATTGTGGACTCGTATTACTGGAGATGGAACAACAGTCTCGTACTTCCTGGCTTTCAATGGTGGTCTAGTTTAGATCGACTCATGGATTAGGCTGTGAAGATTCTACAATCTCCATAAAACTCTATATAGTTAACGCATTATTCGCTAAGCTAGTGAATTTAGATGACTACTAACCTGTTCAATGAATATGATATACACAAGTAAAAGTTTATACTATATTGTTCCGGATACTTATGACTGAATTGTTAGCGTTAGTGGCATCCTGAATGGAATACTTTACTATAGCCATTTCTAACAAGTTTTTTTCTGAGACCTTCTAACTCTCAGTGCAGAGTTTAAAAGATTTGAATTATTTTTTTCTGGTTAGCGTTTTTTTTAGCGAGTTAGTTTTCTACGAGATAAGGTCGCTAACCTCCATGCCTAACCCTCTTCCTTCATCGGAGCATGGGACTGGCAGTAACCTCTGAGCGGTTCTAGAAGGAGTTAACAAGCTTTTCTGAGTGCATAGGAAAAACAAGTCATATCAACTGTTTATAGACTTATTATTTAACACATATACTACTATCAGAAGGGGTTTTGTGGAGATTGCAATAATTTCAATAGTTGAGATCATGAGTCAATTAAGGCTAGACCACCATGGTCGTGGATGCGCACTGCTGAGGAGTCCCACAATAGGACGAAACGGCCATCCAGTGCTTCCAGGTTTTTCATAATGGTCTAGCTTCAAATGACCCATGATCTCAACTATTGACATATACTATTGTATAGGATTGAAAATAGATTCTTAGTTTAAGGTAATGAAGATCATTCTAACCTCCGGAAATCAATGAACTGAATGTAACATTCATTCAAATAGAAACTTGTGTAATAATTGCACAAATAATTCATAACATAATACATTTCATTCAATACGTTTACTTTCATTTCATGTTTCTTCTCATTTCTTTTTTTTTTAATCTTCTGATAAGATTGAATCTAATAGGAAGTTGTAAAAATGTTAGAACAATAGAATATTAACAGTTGAATATGATCCCAGGATTAAATGGTGGTCTTGTACTTTCAGATTATCAATGAGAATCTCCATTTAGATCGACTAATGAATTCAATTGTGAAAATTATTACAATCTCTATAAATACCTATTCTAATAATATGATATTACACAGATTGAAATCATGAGTCAACTGAAGCTAGACCACCATTGAAAACCTGGAAGCACTGGACGGCCGCTTCGTCCTAGTATGGGACTCCTCAGCAGTGCGCATCCACGATCCCGCACCACGAGGGGCTCGAACCCAGGACCTGCTGGCTTCGCCCGCGAGCACTTAACCACTCGACCACTGAGCCGGCACCCAACGGTGTTAATGTCTAACTTCAACCAATCCACGAAGTTGCGCCACCGTACACCATTGTCTCCTATCTCACAACAGACCTGGTTGAACTCCACTGGTAACGGCTTCTCACTAGAACTTCGGGAGTTTTTTTTCCTGAAGTCAGTCACTAGTGAGCAGTTGATTATTATCTTCACAAAACCCATTCTGATAATATGATATTAGTTATAAGTAAAGGTGAATAATGGTTAGTGGTAGAATTCAAGAATTCAGTTTCGTTTGATTTAAGACTCGTCAGTTGGATTTACCTTCACGCCAGAGTTGATGTTGATTTTGGGATTCGAACCTAGTACTGTTCGCTTCAAATGCTATTGCATTATACACTTATATACTGATGATTAAACGCGCATCCTGGATACGCACAGTATGTACGTATGCCAATAAGTGACTAATCACAATTGCAATGCTAAACATTCCTAGGAAGATACAAGTAAAACAATATCAAGTGAATATGATATTATTTAGTTATAAAAAGGGATTTATTACTTGGGAGTAATTCTATTACAGTTTATTGATGCTTATAAATAGAATCTACTGAATTGAGGTAATATGTCACCTGTTAGCTTTTATAATGTGATCAGATGTCGAACTATCTGAGCAGAAAATGGTTTATATGAGTTTTTACTCTAAACGACTTTTACATAACTGATATAATCCATATAGATTTGTAGATGACTAGGAAACTAAAAGATACATACAATATCGTTGAATTCTATATGAAATTTAAAAACAAATATAGATAATGACTAATGTCCTGGTACGGCTGAGAGTTGGGAGAGTCTGCTCTCACTCTCCAAATGATCTCACATGACCACTTGTATATAGCCACTACCATAGAAGTCCTACTCACTGCCTTCTCGACAAAGCGGTGTTCTTTACGAAATTGACAACAAGAAACGAGAATGTCCGGCGCTTCAACCGGGTTTTTGCACACTCAGAATCGCACTTGTTGCGTAAGCTATTAGCTATTTGAACTTTGTAGTTCAGTGTATAATATATTGGGGCTACCTTGATATGGTGGTGGCCGGGCTTGCCTATTGTGATAAACCAATCGAGTTATACTGGCTGCAACAATCGTTCCTCAAGGTCCTACCATGTCAGACAGGTCGGTTGAAGAGCGGTAAGACTAAAAGCAGAAAACCCAATTTCTGAGGGCAAAGTCGAACTGCCGACTGTTCATAGGTGAGATGGCAGTAAGGCGTTTCCTTCAGACAACCAGCATAAGAGGGATGCCGTCTTCTCAAAAGGAGTGGTGTGGTTAGAAAAGGTGCACCCTAACAATACACACCTCACCTTTTTCCCACAGATATTCGTCGCCAGCGGTAAGGTCTCAACAAGTACGTAGTTAAAACGAAAATCACCCAGAAAAAGGTCATTTTGTGACCGACCTCAAGCAGTTGTCCCTTGGGCACTGCGATCACGCTTTCGGGTCACTAAGACCACCTCTAATCCAATTTCCTTTTCAAGTACTTCTAGACGAATCGTTACACATTTTCGGGCAACCGGAAAGTGATAACCGCCGCCCTCATACCTTTAACAGCACTCAAGATGAACTGACTGAAATTCAATTTCAAACAAATTTCCTTATCATTTTGTGTTTTTCTTTGTGTATTTTTTATTTAGGTTAAGAAATGGATAATGAATTTGGATAATTTATTTGTTACATTCACTGTATTAGCTGTTATATTGGGTATGACAATTGGTTTATTAGTTAAAATTTATGCATCACCATCACCAAGAACAATCTATCTTTTATCATTTCCTGGTGAATTATTAATGAATATGTTAAAAATGTTAATTATACCATTGATTGTATCTAGTTTAATAGCAGGTTAGTAATCATATCTATCTATCTATATATACTAATCTATGTAATATTGTTTATTGTATAAGTTTGTTTTTTCTTCTATATGTATACTATATTATTTAAACAGAATAATTGTGAATATCATTGGATGGTGATCATTGTCATGTATGTCAGATCCTTCTTAGTGTAGATCGAATCTTATCGATCAAATTGCAATGTGGCCACTAGTCTAGGTGATTTGACATTGAGTGTATTATGTGGAGATAGGATAGTGGTCGGAGGTGGTTAAGAAGAAACTCTAGACCTAGGTTTCGTGCTATTTGGTACACATCAGCAAAGTGTACCTGTAATCTTGAGGGAACTGATACTCTCTGACGGATTCGATCCCGTGTCATTTAGCTGCAAAGACGTTACCACTGAGCTATTCGGGCGGCGGCTGATCTCCTGTAGTACTGAGATGTATTTACAATTGATTGATCACTAGGTGGTGATCAATGTCATGTATGTTAGATCCTCCTTTGTGTAGATTGAATCCTATTGACCAAATTATAACAAGTCCAGTAGTCTAGGTGACTCGACATTGAGTGTACTATGTTGAGATGAGATAATGGTTGGAGGTAGTTGACAAGAAACCTTGGACCTAGATTTCATGCTACTTGGAACTCGTCAGCAAAGTGTAATTTTTAACATCCGATATCAAGAATTACGAATATAACATGCTCAAATATACATGTCGACAATGAATGTTGTACACTTGAGAGTAAGACAACTTGAGTTGTTATAGAAATTCGTTGTGATGAAAGTATTTTCAAACATTCCCTGAATTATAATGCTTTATTAGTTAATGTTAATACTTGAAATAAATTATCAAATCAGTACACACACACACTAAACAGTTTTACTGCATAATCTTTATCATACATTATTAAATATATAGTTTATCTCATCTCAGAGATATAAATCAGTCAGTCAGCTACAACGTAGAACTAAGAACCTATAGGCATCGATTCAAGTTGCCATACCTCATTAACACAACAAGATCAACACGGGATTCATAGAAGTAGTTAATTCAGTGGTCGTATTGCATAAAAGAAAGATTGCATATGAGGACATAGTACAGGAAGTAAGAATTAGTTCGTAGAAAGAAATTTAAGTATCATCAAAAGGAATGATTTAAAATCTTATTGATAGTATTAATAATACTTCGATAATCTTCAAAGTTGAATTCATGAGTCAATCTAGGCTAAACCACTTTTGAAAACCTAAAAGTACTAGATGACCATTTCGTCTTAGTACGTGACTCCTCAACGGTGCGTATCTATGATCTCACATGTGGGACTTGAACCCGGAACCTTTGGTCTCATGCGTGTAGACCACTGAGTTGATATCCAACGTTATTAATGTCTGACTTCAATCGATTCATGATCTTGTGCAACACTTCATCCATTGTCTGACGTAGATAACTTTCTCCATCCAATGCAGAATGAATTTCATTGGCCACAGCTCCTCACTAGAATTCATCATGAATCTAGTCAGTAGTGAGCATATGATGATTATTATCAATATTGGGGATTTGTGTAGATTGTAAATTTTAATAATTGACATAATACTTTCAAGGTACATCGAGATGCAACAAGACATCTACTTCCCTTATGTTATACAATAATGAATGACAGTAGAATAAATGAAACTAGTTTCTTTCTTCATTAACATTAACTAATAAGTTTAACAAAGACAGTTGAATAAAACGATGATTATAGCGAAAGATAAGAGATGAATATTTTGTTTCGGTTGTACAATTAAATAAAATGTTTGATTATTGAATGTAAAACATTATAATCTTAATTATGATACCAACTGAAAGCTGACAATATGTAATATTAGAGAGGAGTTTTGTGGTTATTATAGTAGTTTTAATAGTTAAATTCATGAGTCAACTGAAGCTAGACCACCATCGAAAACGTGGAAGCACTGGACGGCTGTTCCGTTCTACTATGGGACTCCTCAGTTCTAGTGGGAAGTAGTGACCAGTGGAATTTAATGAGGTCTGTTGTGAGATAGTAACTCACTGATGACAATGGTGAACGTGACGCTCAATTTCGTGGATTAGTTGTAGTTAGATATTAATACCGTTGGATGTCGGCCGGCTCATTGATCTAGTGGTTAAGTACTCGCTCGCGAAACCAGTCGGTCCTGAGTTCGAATCTCGCAGGGGGTGACGTCGTGGATGCGCACTGCCGACGAGGAGTCCCACAATAGGACGAAACGGCTGTCCAGTTCTTCCAGGTTTTCCATGGTGATCTAGCTTGAAATGACTCATGAACTTAACCATTGAAAAGCCTAAATATATTGAATGATAAAGTATAAAAACCAATGCGAAATAGCATAAATAAACCCTTTAATTATTACGTAACAATCCATTCTTTTTATTAGATCATATTTCTTTGTTACATTTAAAAGACTAAGTGATTAAGACATTTGAATTAGTGCATATTTTGTGCTGTTTTTTCTGTTCTTTTTCACTGTTGATCATCTTTAAAGTTGATTTTTTCGGAACTAAAATGATACAATCAAATCAGAACTATTTGCTGATTATCATTGATTATGTGTGTTTGTATGTGTCATATGTATGTTCCCAATGTTATGAATTGTATCGGACAGAATTGAAATCTATTCAATGATGATAGAATATTACAGATTTATATAATGTAAACTATTTTTCTCTAATTTGATTGGTTAATTAACGGAACAGAAAGAAAGTGATCATTGAATACATGAATAGATATGAATAGTGCTGGATTATATCAATGGACATATCTAGTCTCTTTATTACTAATTTCATTAAAACAAACAAATTATCCACAGAGACATAAAAAAGTTAACAAATTCCCACTTTATGTTATCTTCAACTGTATTTACCGGTTTATATGTTCGTACTAAATCACTTACATTGACATAACAGTCATGTTGGGAGATGCAGACTACTTGGTTGGGGTCCGAGTGACTCTTGTAACCAATGGTTAGAGACTCTTGGTGACATGGCTCAGAATCGATCACAATGGCGTCGATGTATATACTCTTTGTCTTCTCTTAAACTAAGAGATTAAAATTGCTTCACATCTTTCTTTCTACCAACTAATTCTTTCTTCTTGTATTATATCCTTATACACAATCTTTCTTTTATATATTACCACTATCGAAGTAACTACTTCTATGAATTCGATGTTCATCTCGTTGTGTTAATGAGTTATGGCAACTTGGATCGATGCATATATGTGCTTGGTCCTAGGTTGTAGCTGACTGACGTAACAGAAAATAGGGATTTCCATTCATTTTGAAGCATATTCCATAATGAGGTGGTGGAGAAGATTTATAGCTCAGGTGGGTGATTTTAGTGGAGTTTTGTTCTCTGAACTTCTTCTGAACGATGAAAGCTCCACGACCAAACCATCTAGCTCAGAGAACAAAACTCCACCAAAATATTCCATAATGGTCAGTGCATTTTCAATAATGCTATCACTTATCATCAATTTGATAGTAAACACAAAATCGATGTTTTAAAGTTGTTCAAAATAATCAATACCTTTAAAAAACTTTGAATTTCTTGGGTTATACCATAGCCATAGCAACAACAAAAAGTGAAACAACACAAACAAATCCAAAACGATAGAGTTATAGATTTCTTAACAGCCCGGTTTTGGTGGCCCAGCCTTCGACTCCAGTTAAATCATATGATGATTGTTATTGAAATATATATACCACCAACCCTCGTATATAATTGTCGACTTAATTCGCATTAGAAAACAGTAGAATACGTATATTTCATACATTCATTTATCCACACAGACAATCAGAGAAACAAAGTGTAGGAAGCGAAGCGAAACGAAACGAAGTGACACTCATCGAAGGTTAGTGAGCCAACTCGGTTTATTCAGACGTAACTCGATATTTATATTCAGATACAAAATAAGTTACAGACACATAATCAACATGGTGAATAATTAACAGATACGATCATACAAAAATAGTCAGGATTAATAAACGAATAATTGATAAGTTCGAAATGTGACTTAAGAAGAATGGATAAATTGGTCTATCCAGAAGCTAGAATAACCTATGTGGGCTTGAAATAGTGTGGTATATGCTACTTATGTTGTTATAAATAGTATATAACACCAGCCAGAAGTGGAATGTCTGGCAGTAGAAGGTTGGGAAGAGAACGGGAACAGAGAATAATTGTTATGGTAATGAAGGAACGATTAATTGTGAGATATTTGTTGAAGGATTCGCAAATGCAGTATTGAACATACAGTAGGGACTGTATATTCTCGTTCATTACAATAGTACTATCCACAACATGATAATCTCTACTTTTTATTCTTCAATTACATATAATCTTATTTCAAATTCTCAATAACAAATTCCTTTCTTAGGTTATTACGTCATGTTTGAGCTTTAATAACCTTGGCCTATTAATTTACTTACTTTTATGGTTGTTATTACGAATCATGGTGTTGATTTCCATTCATTCAAGACAAGTCCCCATTTGTTTAAAAAAATGCTTCTGCTATAGTTTTCACATTCTTACTTACTTAATTAATTACGCCTGTTATTCCTCGTGGAGAAGCATAGGTCGCACATTAGCACTCTCCATCCAACCCTGTTCTAGGCAGTCCCTTCCAGCTCTTTCTAGTTGTTATTCATCCTTTTCATGTCTGCTTCCATTTCACATCCAGTAACACATAAATCTTTATCCACTTTACCATTTAAGAATTCTCCTAAATTTCTTGTCTTTATTCTACTAATTGTAGTGAACAGAACACGGGTGAGGACAATCGAATTATAGTGAGCACGAAATTACAGAGTTACTTGGTAAAATAGAAAAACAAGACTATAATACTTAATTTACAAAATGTTCAATAATCGTCTTGAACTCCGTTGTTCTTGAATTTCCATACTAATTGCTTTCTATTCCCGTCCCTCCTTTCTTGATCTTCCCCATCTTCTGCTGCCAGACATTATAT